TCTCGCATACACAGCTCTCCCTCTCAAAGCCTGTACTCTTACAACGCTGACCTCCTCTAACTCCTCTTCGCTCTCAATATTATGGACAGGAACGTTCTTACACTTCTTGGCAAAATGAATCTTTTCCTTGCACCGCTTACACTTCCTTCCCCATGCAGGGCATATCTTCCTGTCAGGTTGACGGTTGTAGCCACAAAATTTGCAGGACATCTTCTTTGCCGACCGCCCGTCCGGCGTTGGAGCTCGAGGCTTCTTAGAACTAATGACTTGACTTTATTAATGTTATCCACCGGCCCAGATAACGACTTCATCTGAAACTCAGCAATTTCGTCGCTGCGACACACGTCGATGCAACGATTCAGAGTAAGGTCTCTCATTCTCAGCAACTTCTTGGTCGTCTGCTCGTTTTTAATTCCAAGCACAATACGGTCAAACAATCGCAAAAGTGACATGTTTTGGCCAGATTCCTCAACTCGGCAAAAATAAAAAACTACCAACCGACTCCGTTGGGAGCTTATCTCGCATATTGAAACGATAGCGTTCGTAAATTTCGCTGACTTCGCCGACCCAATGCTTCTCCATTTTGCCCATGACAATGTGCAGGTCGTTCGAGTTCTTCCCCTCGGCGTAGATGTCTGTTTTGATGACTTTCAACGGATCATCTCCGATCGTATGTTTGAACATCGCCAACTGAAACTCCGGGGTTTTCTGATCCAAACGAGAAATGACAAAATAATTGTTATATTCCTCCTTCCAAAGCTTCCAGTTGTCGACAACTTCTCCACTATGTTTCAGGTCAAGGTACTTCGGCGGAACAATCTGATGAAAAGTCGACTGTCCATTAGAGGTATCCCCACTGGGCATGTTGTATAACGTAGACGGTTAAATAAACGAAGCAGAAGTGGCCATTGCTGCCACCACGTAATAAAACAACGAACCTCACTTACAAGCGAGTACTAAACAGACATTTTAATGTATACCAAAGGCCCCCAAAGGTACAAGCGAAACTGAATCTAATGTATAAAGCAGCCCGTGCATATGAAGTGTGAATACAGAGCGTGAATGGCCGTTTTTATAATAGAGGACGCATTATCCGTTCAGACGGATAATGCGTCTATGGCCGTTTTTATACTAAGGACGCATTATCCGACTGGACGAACTTGGGCGAACGTTTGTAGTTCGTCTGAATATGCGTCTGGACGAACTTTCCTTCGAGATACGTCTTGAACAACGCACTACGAAAGGTAGTTCGTCTGGACGTATAATGCGTCTCGTGCCCGTCTTTATACTAGAGACGCATAACCCAGACGAACTACAAAATATTTTTCCAAGTTCGTCCAGACGGATAATGCGTCCTTAGTATGAAAACGGCCAATATTTACAATATAAAACACTACTTCAGTGCAAAGGAAACAATTTGTTCGAGTTTTCTTGTTTGAGAGAACGTTTATTCGCTTCTTATCACCATGGCTTTCGTTACGGATGTTCGCGAATTTCAAGCTCTTTAGACGCTTGTTCCTCGACCCGCGAATGGGAAATATTCTATTTAGCGCTAAAAATTGGACATATAAACAAAACACACACACACACAAAGTGGAGCCCAAAGCTGTCTATTCCAATTTTGTCTGACCATTATAAAATCGTTTTCTCCATTCTATCTCCAGGAAATGAAAAACTATTTAAGTCTTGTACAGTTTCACGCACCGTTAGTCAGGTAATTATGCGAGTTCGCAAGCGCAAAGTTGAATACAAATTAGCTCTACGGGAAAAACTCCAAGGGAGCATCTTGATGTATTATTACAAAAAAACAGTTAATAACTTAACAAGGATCAATTGAAACATGCGACTAATAATTGCTAGCAATAAAATAAACTTGGAAACTGAATTCGAACACCTCTGGCTTGAGTTTCCTAGGAAGAACAAGAATATCAAACTCTTGACCGGCACTATTTATCGGTCTGAACTCATTCTTGATACAAAGGTGTGGCTAGACAAGTTTGATGACTTATCATCTACTGAGATGACGTCATGGGACGGGTCGCTATTAGTAACCGGCGACATAAACGTCTGTCTCGCTCTTAGATAATAAACCAGGCATAAGTAACATTGAGCGTCAGTACAGGGACATTTTAGAGTCCTTAAACTTGACTCAACACATTACAAAACCAACCAGAGTAACGCACAGTACGAAAACCCTGATTGACCACGTCATCTCTAATGATCTCTTGAGAGTTGTTCACACTGACGTACTTCCAGCTCCATCTGTGAGTGATCGTGATGCTGTTTACGCGATTATCAACGCGCGAGTTAAAAGATATGCACCCCGTCACAAATACATACGCAATTAGAAACAGCTTGACATGCAAGCGTTTAAACAAGATTTCTCGTCTCTGGCTTTGAATGATGGATGCACTTAACTCTCTCGTGACTGAGTACATAGACCGCCACGCCCCTTTAAAGAAAGTGAAGTTAACGAGACCACCAGCCCCATGGATGGCGTCTGATGAGATACGTGAGTTGCAAACTACTAGGGACAAGCTAAGGGCACAAGCCCGTTGCAGTGGCACTGATGAGACATGGACTGCGTTTAGAGCTGTGCGAAATAGGATAAAGGCTGTCATCGGAAAGGTTAAAAGAGCATTTCAGAACACCGCTCTCTCGTCAAAGTGACCTAAGGAGCTTTGGCGGGTTATCCATAGAGTTGTTCACCCTAGCCTAGGCCTATTCGTGCAGATCCTGATCGATCACCTGAATCGTTACTCTATCAAGACAACGGAGAGAACAGGGCCACCGATCTAGTGGATTTAATTGAATCACCTCCTGAACCCGATCGTTATCCTTTCCAGCTCTGCACGGTATCTAATGAGGAGGTTCTAAGAGATTAGCCTACTTCGATCGGACTGTTCTACTGGCATTGACCAAATTCCCGTCAAATATATAAAACAGCTTGGCGATTTCCTTACGGGTCCTCTTGCACATATCATCAACGTGTGTATCTCTAATTCGCAGTTTCCACGCTTCTGGAAAACTGCACGCATCTCACCCGTCCCTAAAATCGACAATCCAAAACAGAACGCAGACTATCGACCGGTCTCTATACTTCCCGCGCTCTCCAAAGTCTTCGAGCGTTTGGTGCTCAAGCAACTTGTCCACTCTATTGATGAACAGTCTTTATCACTCCCAAGCATCTCAGGCTTCAGGAAAGGACAGTCCACCCCAACTGGTTTGCTCGGTATTCGGGACCATCTTATTCGGGCCGTGAAAAGGGGTGAGGTCACCATGATGGTCATGGCCGACTATTCGAAGGCATTTGATACCGTAAGGTTTAAGTCAGTTCTTACCAAGATGCATGTCATGGGATTCTCCAAAAGCTTCTTGAAATGGATGCTCAACTATTTCTGTCAGGGTAAGTTATTCCTTTAGCCTTTAAATTAAACTGTATGAGAATTTGCTCGTCAAATCACCCATTTAGCAATCTCATTTGCTACAGACAATAATACTTGGACATTGTTGATCCATGAAAGCGCTGAAAAAAGCTACAAACGTTTTCCACCCAACCTAAATAAGATTAGATTAGGTTTTTTATGGCCGTTTGAGGGGACAGGCGTCTATGTGTTTTGTATGTGTTTTCGCATTCCCTTTATACTAAAAGTTTGTCTTACACGAACTAAATGCCCGAGAGGTTTGTTTTTAAAACTTTTGTGACCGAGCTGCTAATTCCTAGAAAGTCGGATCGGAAGGTCCGGTTTTTTAAGCCTTGCCATCGCGTTTGTTTCCTTCTTAGACATAGCTGCCTAAATCGACCTAAATCAGTGTATGAAGTCTTGCGTTTCTTGTATGGAATGTGTGGGAAAATCTTCAATATGAATCGGTTTATTTCAAAGAGCTAGGCAAAGACAAGCAATACATTTGACCGACAACATGCAGAGCGGGGGCAGCTGTAGTGTCGACTATTACTAGCATAGCATGTAAACGGCGTAAGTGGACGCCCTTGGCGCAAATAATCTATCATTCGAGCAATCTAATGTTTTTAGATCTCTATTTCTCTACACCGGGGAGGGGGGGAACCTTCCTAAAAAGAGGGTAATGGGGATGTGCCGCTGGATGTGGTCGCATTTTCTCGACTGGATTGTGTATAATGGGGTCGCATGTTCAATAGAGCTATTAGAATGGGGTCCCACATTTTCGGATTTTTTGGGGTAAGACAGTTCTCCATATTTACGGTTAGCAACGCACCAATGTTTGTACAGCAGATGAAAAGTTAAGTGTTTTTCATTCAATCTAAAAATGGGCCAATTCCTAAAAATAGAAAGTGACTAAGTTGGGATCGCGAAAATTACATTTTTGCTCAAAAGTGACTAAGATGGAGTCTATAATTGGCCACAGAATAGACTGTGATGGGGCTCTGAGAGGCCAGCGGCACATACAGAGCAAACATTAACGTAAGTACCGCCCCCCCGAAAAATAGCCCTAGAGGCGGAAGGCCTAGTAAAATCCAACTAGTTGGTCAAGATTATCAGGAAAAAATTAACTTTAGCTAGCAAAACGCGATTCAGCCGTCATTGTTTTGGTTTTCAAAGCCGGCGCTTTTCGCTATTAGAGGGCTTTAATATATAGCCTAGTAGTAGTAGCTCAACCAATCAGAACGCAGCATTGATAATAGAACGCTAGTTGGATTTTACTAATACAGCATAAACCCCTTTCACATGCAATTGCCGCCTATTAATACATTCTTTTATATGAGTGCAAATTACTCAAACGAGACCAGGAAGAGTTATTTCAGTTCAGTTCAGCTGTTTAGTTCAGTTTATTTTCTGTTAATATTTTAACTAGTGCTAGTTACAGCCTTTTTAGATTGCTGTTTACAATATAAACATTTCTTAATTTGAGCTAATATTGAAGTTCGAGTATGATGGCCAAGTGAACCATTCAGTTTTCTAGTTGGCCACCAATTACGCCGGTTTGGTTTAATATATATACAGGCGAAGAACCAGAAAGAG